AGACAGAGGGTGTTCACAGCCTGCGACAGAACTCTGATTCTCATAGTGCTCAGCCCAGTTTTTTCAGTGCTCTCCCTGAAATGTGGGGCCTCTCACCTCTCACCACATGAGATTGTAGCCCCCCCCCCCTTAAGAATTATCCAAGTAGACGCAAGGAAACTCCATAGACCAGAGTAGATCTTCAATGAGTAAGTAAGTACCAGTTGCCTGGATGGAGCACCATCTCTGGGTGAGGTTCCCCCAGCCCTCTGGGTCCTGGCATTGAGCCATTTCCTAGCCAGGCACCAAGAAGTCCTGGAGGTAGGGAGGCCCTGAGTTTAGCCTGGGTGGGTCTGTGATTGAGCAGTGAGGTTATTACATAGACAAAATGTGAGCCCTGCCTCTCGTGGGGGCCAGGAAGTCTGTGGTCGCAAAAGGTCCACTCTGTCCTCAAAGCCCGGCCATTACAGAAGTCTGGGAGTCTCGGGAGGGGACAGTGGCCCTTACTGGGCATCTCCTAGGGGCCAGAAAAGGGCTGGGTGCTTTACAGCTAGGTATTAATATTCCCATTTCACAGGTAGGGAAACTGAAGCTTGGAGAGGTCAGAGAAATTTGAACTCCTCCATCCAACAGCCCCTCTTGACCTTAATCTCCCTTCCCACCACATGCAGAGATTGTTGGAACCCCAATGATGATGGGGAGCTCACTCCTGCAAAAATCTCTTCTAGGCCACAACTGAGAGCGTTCTTCTCAGCGTGGGCTGAAACTGGCTCCCGGAAGGAAGCTCCCACCTGAGGCCCAAGCACCAGCTGTCAGCTGCACTCGGACCCAGACGCCCTCTCTCCCTGAGGCGGCCTTCAGACATGGAATAGAGCAGGACACTCCCAGTAAACCAGCATGCCTCCCTTGGACAAGTGCTTCTCTCTGAGCCTCAGTTTCCCAAGCTGGGCAATGGGATAACAACAGCCCCTGTCTGAGGGGTAGCTGTGCAGCCTCAGAGAGTGACCAACCTGGGAATTTTCCGGGACCATCCAGAGTCTTCAGAGAAGCTCCAGCCAAGGAAAGAGGCTCAGGGGTTTTTCCAGAGCCTGACTCACCTTCCCCAAAGGAGGGAGTGGCCTTGATCAGGGGAGCCTCACGATCGGGGAGCTGGCACTCAATCTTAGGGTGTGCCATGAGCAGGGTTTCACCCATACAGTTTTTTGTAAGGAAGCTCTACACCCAACATGGGGCTTGAACTCACAGCCCCGAGATAGAGTCGCAGGCTCTTCCGACTGAGCCAGGCAGGTGCTCCTCACCTGTATGGTTCTGGCTCCCCCCAGACCTGGCAAGAGCTCACCTGCCCACCCAAAGGTGCTCAGTCTTATTGAAGGACATCAGGGAGCGGGATCAGGCAGGTCTGGGTTCAAGTCCCTCATCTGCCATTTACCAGCTGTTTGGTAATGTACCTGCCGGTCACTTCTCTGCTCTGAGCTCTGGCTTCTCCAGCTCCAAGGAAGGGCCGTAGTGCTCAGCAGAGTGGGAGGTCAAGGCTGGCCAGCCCCTTGAGTACAGAGACAGGTGTGCCCCAGGCCCTGTTGGGGACAGCCGGGCCGCTGTCATCATTGCCTTCCCTGGCTCTCTGCTCACTGAGGGAGGGACTGGAGACGTGCAGCCCAGAGAAGGGCCCCATGTCTTCGCATATTCTCTTCCCCCTGGCTGCTCTGCTCTCTAGGCAGACTCCTCTCTACCTGGGTCCCTCCAGGCTTAATGAAGTCTCTCCCTCTCTGTGACGTAGGACAGGGCTGCAGGAAAGACACGCGGTCAGGGGTCCACCGATGGGAAACTGAGACCAAGAGAGGAGAAGCAACGAGCCCAGGATCACACGGGAGCAGAGGGAGAGCCAGGATTCCAACGCGGGCCCGCTGCCCCTGCTGACACCTCTCCAGGCAGCACTTAGGACCTTTCCCAATCTGTCCCCCGCTGGCCAAATCGTGCACATACCTGCCCTGTGCAGCCCCACCTCGGGAAACCCCAAGCGGGAAGACCTGCCCTTCTCTCCACCGGCCAGGTTCTTACTGATCTTGAAGGCCCCACCTCGTACCCTTCCATGCCCCCCCCAGCCCCGTCCTCAGCCCCCAGAGCAGCCCACCCCCCACCCCTCTGATTCCTCTTCCCCTCCCGGGCACCTCATGTGCGCCCTCCATCAGGGGGGAAGGTGGCAAGGGAGAGTCTCTCTGAGCAGGTGACATTTGATCAGATCTCTGAAGCGAAATAGAAAGTGATATAAACATCAGAGGGAACAGTATACCAGGGAGAGGGAACAGCGAGTGCAAAGGTCCTGAGGTGGGAATACACATAGTATGCTGGAGGAAATGCAAGGAGGTGAATGAGCAGGATGCGGGTGGCAGGAACTGAGGTCAGAGAGGGATCCAGCAGGGGACATAGGCAGGACCCTGCTTTGATCCTGACCGAGCCGGGAGCCATTGCCGTGTTCTGGGCTGAGGAGTACAGAATTTGACCTAAGTTCTAACGGGATCACTTTGGCTGCTGCACAGAGAATGGAATCCAGGGGTCCGAGGGGGAAGCAGGAGACCCATGAGGAGGCTGCTACTCATACACAGTGGAGTGGACATGGTCAAATTGTTGATAAAGTTTGAAAACAGAACCTGTGGTGTCTGCAGATGCATTGATGAGGGATGAGCAGGGGAGAGAGAGAATGAGAGAAAGGGAGGGGAGGAGTTAAAAATGGTCTCAAGATGGGGCGCCTGGGTGGCTCAGTCAGTTAAGCGTCCGACTCGTGATTTCAGCTCAGGTCATAATCTCACAGTTCATGGGATCGAGCCCCGCATCCAGCTCTGCGCTGACAGCGCGGAGCCTGCTTGGGACTCTCTCTCTACCCCTCCCCTGCTCACTCTCTATCTCTCTCTCAAAGTAAATAAAAAAGCGAAACTTAAAAAAAAAAAAAAAAGCAAGGTGTTGGGCCTGAGCAAGTTCATGGAAAACGGAGGTGCGATTATCTGAGATGGGGAAGATTTGGTAGTGGGGCAGGTTTGAGGGTGACATGCTGAGGTACAAAGCTCAGTGGCCATGCACTTGGAGCTGTAGCAGAAGGCGCTGGCTGCATGGGTCTGTAGTTTGGGAGAGGAGTCTGAGCTGGGAGGGGGCACTTGTCATATGCGTCCCCATGTCTTGCACGTAGTAGGTCCTTAGTAAATGGCTGCTGACCTGGCCTGCGGGGCCTTGTGGGGGACACAAAACCGGCCGTGGCCCCACTCCTGGCCTCTAGGAGAGGTAGACAGGGCCCCCGGGGCCAACCTCAGAGCCACACCCTGTGAGGGCCACACACACAGCTGCCTACATTCCTTGGGTGACACAGCTGGAGGGTAATCTAGGAAGGCTTTTTGGACGGGGTGGTGCAAGACTCCTGGCAAAGCTGGGGCAGGCCTCCGGCTTCAGCAGGAAGTGGGGGAAACAAGTGAGTGGAGGAAGCCTCAACAGAGCCAGTGAAGCAGGGGTGAAGGGGATGAGTGCAGGCGCCAGAGCCCTGGCTGCGGTCTGGGCTCTGTGCCCTTGGGCAAGATCCTTGACATCTGTGTTGTGGGCTCTAAAATAGGAATGATAACTGTGCCCCCTGCACTGATTGGTGTGAGGATCAAATGCGTTAATCTAGGTAAAGTGCCCCAGATACAATGATGGCAGATGCTGGAAAGTGTGACCTAAACCTATTAGCACTGCGTCCAAAGACGGCGGCCTCCTCAAGCCCGGGAGGACTGTCCAACAGGGGAGAGAAGAACGTATAAGGCCCAAGTGTGCGGTGCCCGCAGCTCAGATCAGGAGGGGACCCGCGGAAAGTTATGTGCAGAGCGATGAGGAGTATTCCATTCGGTCCTTGCTCATCCCCCACCTGTGCTCAGCTTGACACATCCCCTCCCGTCCCAGGCCCCACGGTGCCCCCATGGCAACCCGCCTGCTGGGCTCGGCGCATCTCACAACAACAGCTAATGCTCGGTGATCGCCATCCACGCAGTCCTCACAGCAGCCCCGGGTATGAGGCTGGTCCTATTACTGTGATGCAGACAGAAGCTGGCAGAGCGGGATATAAAGTCCAGAATCTTCCAGAATCTACACCAGCTTCCCCTGGCTCTGAGACTGACCCCGGAATCCAAAAAGTGGCCGGGCATCAGCGGAGCACCTAGCACTTGCTGATTCTCCCAGCAGGCCAGAATCAGGAACTGGGTCAGTTCACAGGGGCAGAGACTACAAGGTGAGGTGACTTGTCCAGGGTCCCCCAGCTTGTCCACCCGGGAGCTGGGACTCCACTCCAGATCTGTTAGACTCCAAACGCCCGCGCTGGAGGCTTGGCGGACACGGCACGTGGGACCCTGAGCTTCCTTTAGTCTGGGCCTGCATCAGGGGAGGGGTCCCTCATCTGGAGCTCTTTCTGAGTTCTCGGATCCTTTCTGGGGGGACAGAGGAAGACAGTGGGTCCCCCTACGCCCAGGCTGCCTGGGGCTCGTGCACAGGCCCCTTTATTGTCTGCTCCTACCGCCTGTCCTTAGAGAGAGGTTTCCCCCCAACCCCCCTGGCCCTGCCCTGCCCTGCGGAGGGGAGAATGAAAAGCAGGCTGAACTGCCTCCTCTTCACACTTTCCAGGCCAGAAAAACCTGCAGAGGGAGATTCACTGTTCGCAGACCAGGTCAAGTCCAAGGTCACTCTATAAAAATGGATTCCTGAAAAGATATAAACCGGCAATTTACCTGATGCATTTTATTGGCCTCAAAACAAACCAACCAACACCCCAAAATGACCCCATTTGAATAATGAAGGGAGATAAACCCTTCCCAGTTCCTCTTTCATTGGTGAAGAAGGACACACAAAAACTCAGCCAAAAAAGAACGTTCGCAGGCAGCTTCAGGTCTGATTTATTAGCCGCTTTCATTTCATAAACACCAGCATCTCTGTTAAAATAGGATGATATCCAAACGGTCTGTTTGTTTAAAAAAAAATTGTATTCAATATGGGACAAGGTTTAGTTTTATTTTTTATTTTTTATTTTTTTCTTAGACAAAGCTCAGATTCTCCTGACTTCACGCCTGTTACTGCAGCCAGAGGGAAACTGATTTCAGAATCCATCTGATATGTCGGATTTCTTTGTGGCATCCACTTCATCGCTCAGCAGCCAGCCATGATGTCATAAGCCCATCAGATTTCCGGTAGGGGGGAAACGCTGGGGAATTGGAAAGAATGGATGTTTCTTACCCTTCAGGGAAGGGGGGGCGGGGAAGGGGCTGGGTGTGCTTGGGGGGTGGGGGAGGCAGGCTCAATGTTTGTGATATTAAATGTCAGGCAGAAACCTGAAAAATCCAGCCACCCAGATGTTTTCTAAATATCCAGATGTCTGGCACTGAGCAGACCATGCTCCCCCCGCCCTCCCCCCTCCCACTACCCCCCTGCTCCTATCCCAAGAGGCGCTCGACATTTCAGGTTTGACCTCAGGTCTGCAGCGAGTGCGTGCTGCCAGGCTGCACATCCTCAAGGCTGCCCACCCTCGGGTTTGGAATTTTTTTTCTAAATCTTTACACATGGATGACAGGAGTAACTAGGTCCAGATTTTTAAAAGCTGTTGAAGCAGTGATTTGAAAAGTTCAGTCCCTGGAATTAGCTTCCACAGAACACACTCTACACGCCAAAAAGGAGGAAAGAAATCCCCTCGCCAACACTCACACAAACATATGTGACTCTTAAGCCACAGGACTTAAAAACCCCAAACAAAAACCAGTGAGTCTGAGAATCAAGGGCTCGGAGACTGACACGGAGAAGCGATGTGCCCGCCCCCAGGAGCACGCTTCCCCCAAATCAGGAAACCACCAAACAGCTTTGTTCTTCCTGACAAAGCCCCTCGCTTCCAATGAACAGGCAGTGCCAACAAAAGCACAAGGTAGAACTAATTTACGCTGAGGCTCGGGGCTTCAAGGAGTCATAAAGTACAGAGATGCAACCAGCTTTGCCCGGGAAGCTCCCTCCCTACACCTGGCGATGGGGACCCCTTGGCCCGGGGGCGTCCCGCAGGCCACAGACAGAGCGCAGTCCGGACTTCAGGCACAGGCGCCCACTGAGGCCACCACCGAGGCCTGTGACATCACAGCTAATTGCTCCTGAAAATGAGCCAAGAACTGCAGGCTCCCTGGGGCCCAAACCCTGCGGCTTCGCAGAGAAGGGGACCTGGAGCAGAGACAGCTGGGGAGGGGGCCCCCTCCAATTAGAACGACTGTTTGGATGATGTAAAAGAGGGGTGGCTAACAGGAGGGTGTCTAGCAGAGGGACGGAGGAGGTGAGTGTTGGAGGGGGCGCTCAGGGATGGAGGTGAGGAGGCTCTGTGGCCTCATCTTCTAGAACAACCCCTGTGCTTTGCAGATGGGGAAATTGAGGGCCAGGAGTGGCTGAGTGGCCCGCCCAAGGTCACCAGGCTAATTAGCGGGCCAGCCTGGACCGGGGAACAGAAAACAGGCCTGGCATTGCACAGCTCTTCCCTGAACGTTATCTAATTTAATCCTCACAACACCCTGTGAGGGAAAGATTATCATTAACCTCAGTTACCGGAGGAGCCAATGGAGGTGCAGAGAGGTTAAGTAATTTACCCAAGGTCACACAGCTTGTCATTAGCAGAACGTGGCCTGGATCTCCGAGTTTCACCGACTCCAAATCCAGTGGTCTTTCGGCTGGGTGGGGAAGGGTGGGGGCAGTTAAGATTTAACCGGGAGCAGTGAATCTGATTTAAATACATATTTAAAATGCCGGTGATCCCCACAGAACAGAAGGACGTAAATCATTGCAAATTAATTTTTTAAAGCAGTTCCAGTCAGGAGGGCTGGCTGGCTGGGTGGGGAGGCCGCTTTTCTTCTGTCCCTGCCAGAGCCCGAATAAAGCATGCAGACACTCATCTCTAGCTGTGCATAGAGGCAGCTCAATCCCCTGAAGTGGGGAGCAGGGGACTCGGGGGGGGGGGGGGGGGGGGAGGCTAAAAGCTTTGTTGGGCATCTGTGAGAGCATAATCTGCCACAGGAAAGGTGCCAGGCGCGCAGGTCTGACAGAGCCAGGGGAGGGAGAAATTCACTGAGTTGTAGAAACTAGGAAAAATAAAGAGTCGGTCCCTCTAAGCCTGAGTCCTGTTTTCCAGGCAGGAGTTTAAAGCAACTGAGAGTAACCTGGACAGCTAAGTGCAGCCCAGAGGCCTGACTTGGGGTCAGGGAGGTGCTGCCCAGGGTCCTGGCCACTCCAGATTGGGGGAGGGGCTGGGGAGGGCAGGCAGTTACTGTGACCCTGTCCCGTAGCCATCCCGGGGACCCTGCTGGCCACCAGCTTCTCCGGAGTAGCATTTAAAGGAAACCAAGCCTCTGAGAGCTGGGACAGAAGAGTGACTAGATTGGCCTGAGCTCAGAGAACAGCCTCAGGCCCCCCCTTTCTGCAGGTCCCCAACCTTCCAGTGAAACAGCCTTGGCGCATCAGCGGGCCATCTGTACCAAGCCTCTCCCTGCTGGTTTCTTCTACTTTGTTTCTGTGAACTGCAGATGGGGTGTGGAGCCCAGGACTCAGTCCAGGGAAGGGGAAAGAAAAGGTTCTGCCGTCTGGATACCTGACCTTGCGGAGGTATTTTTTCTTGTGTTTTTCTGGGGAAATTCTACCCATCCTCTATTCATTCTGTCTACCACCGGCCCCCAAAAGAGGTTCAGGTCCTGCCTTGGTGACACTCACATCTGATGGAGGGAAACAAACAGTCACCCAATAATGACATAAAAATGTCCATGGAGGGAGTGGTCCCCGGGCTATGACAGCCTGTCAACAGGTGAAGCGTCAGGTCAGTGAGGTCAGGGAAGGCTTCCTGGGGGAGGTGACTGGGGCCCAAAGGTTGAGGAGGCATTAATCCCTCTGACTCACCGTCACCTCTCCAGCGAAGCCTTCCTTCATGCCCACCCAAGGCTGCCTCCCATTCCCGCGCCCCATTCCCTTCTGGACTATTGTTCATCGTCTATGTCCCTGCCCTGCTCTGGAAGTCCCAGACTGGGTCTGCCTTGTTCACCACTGAGTTGCCTATGCCTGGGATGTTTGATGACTACTTGTTGATCAATCAACAAACAAACAAACAACATGTGTAAAGGGCAGCGGTGGAGGAATCACAGAGACTAGGAGGGTGTAGGAGTACGAATGGGGGCAAAAGTCCCCAAGGAGAAGTGGGAGCTGGGACCGAGCCACCCCAAGGGGCACCTTGAGTGTGCAGGTATCTCTTTGCTCCTCTGGGCTCCCTGCTGCCTTTCCTCTGTGGCAGAAACTGGGTTGGGGTGTCCCCTTTCCCCTACAAGAGACAGTCTGCCCCGGGCACAGCACCCCTGGGCACCGGGTAGCTGGGGGAACGGCATCACCTGCCCAGTACTCTTCCTTCCCACCATCACGGCCTTCCCTCCTCCCTTCTTCCCGCACCTGGCGCTGAGGGCCCGCCCGGAGCCACAGACAGGCAGCGGAGGCAGATCCGGGGTCCCAATGCTCCCCACCCCCCACCCCCAGGTCCCATCTGCGCCCTCCACTACCACGCCTGTCTCCTCACTCAGGCAGAAGTGGAAGGAGGGAAGGAGCTGGGCTCCGGGCTTGGACCAGACCGGGTTTGAGTCCCCTCTGCGCGCGTCGTGTCGGCAAGCTGGCCTCTGCCCCTCGGATTCCTCCCAGGTGATGGAGAGACCCCGGGCTCCGGCGGGCGCAGCGCGGGCGCTCCAGGAACCTGTCCGAAAGGCTCCAAGTCACTCTCCTCTCGTCTCCCTCCAGCGCCCCCCTCCCAGCCCGCTGCGGCGGCTGAGGCTGGGGCGTGGGGGTCCCCCGCGGCTCGGGCGGCCGGGAGCGGCGGGGGCCCGCCGGCAGCGCGCCCCGGCCCCAGCGCCCGGCCCCTGGCGCCCGCCGCGCGCACTCCAGCAAACTTTCCGCCGCTGCCTCCCGCGCGCGTCTACACCTGCAGGCGGTCGGGCGCCGCCTCCTGCCCCCCGGGCGCTGGAGGCTGCCCCGTCACAGTCCGCGTCTCCACGGTCTCACCGCTGACCGTCCACCTCAGCCTTGACGACGTCGGGATTTCGGAGGCGCCCCAGCCGCACCGCCTGCGCCCGTCTACGCCGCCACGGCAGTCCCCGGGTCACCGAGGGCTCCTCGGCTCAGGGGCCGCGTCCACGCCGCCTCGGAGATGCCTCGGCGCCCGGGCCGCGTCTACACCGCTCAAGTCTCACGAGGCGCAGAGCGCGCCCTAGGGCGCAGACCCCGCGACAGGCGCTCAGTGAGCGCGGGGGTGCCGCGATGTCTCCGGGCGCCCCCAAGTCCCGCGAAGCCGGCCGGGGGCTTCTTACCTTGCTCGCGCGCTCACGCTCCTGTCCTGGCCGTGCGGTCCCTTCCACACATTTTGCGATATTGTCGGCAGCGAAAGAAAATATTGTAAATCCTCTCCCGGTCACGCGGCTGTCCCCCAATCTCCTCGCTCTCCTGTCTTTTCGGCCTTTAGGACAATACTCGGCCCCAGCGGCCGGCCGCTGGCCTGGGGGGGCTCCAGGCGGGCGCGGCTAGCGGCGGCTGGGCGGGGCCTGGGCGGGGCGGGGGCGGGGCCGGGGCGAGGAGGGGCGGGGCCGGGGCGGGGCGCGCGGGCTCCAGCCGCCCTCCCGCGGGAAGCTGGGGCTCTGCTCCAAGCGCTCCTGTTCCAGCCCTGATTGGTCGGCCGGCCTGCGATGCTGAGGCCTGATTGGCAGAGACGAAGAAGGGGCTCAGGCAGTGGGGGTTGCGGGTTTCATTCTTTGCCTTTTCTTTCTTGCGGCCGCCGCTGCTCTTTTGAGCCCTCCTGAGATCCGCCGCCTTTTCATCGCAACTTCTGTGCACCCCATCATAACACCTAACCACCCGAGAATAACTGTATTTCTTTTGCTCTTTGCTACCAAATAGGTAGCACCTTTTTTTTTTTAAATATTTTAAATGTTTTATTTATTTATTTATTTCTAGGAGAGAGAGAGAGAGAGAGAGAGAGCATGAGCAGGGGAGGGTCAGAGAGAGAGGGAGGCACAGATTGAAACAGGCTCCAGGCTCTGAGCTGGCAGTCAGCACAGAGCCCGACGCGGGGCTCGAACCCTCGAACCGCGAGATCATGACCTAAGCCGAAGTCGGACGCTCAACCGACTAAGCCACCCAGGCGCCCCCCAAATAGGTAGCACCTTGAGGTCCGGACACAGGGTTTGTGGTGCTCACCACTGTATCCCCAGGATATAGGATGTGCTCAAACGCATGTGTTGATTGAATTAACAGAAAAGGTGCGCACAGGTTTTTAGAGCTGTCTGTAAGGCTGGTAACATCCCTAGAAGATAGCATTCTTCTTCAAGAATGGGGAGACTGACGAACAGAGAAATGCTGTCACCAAGGAGTGATGGCTGAGCTGATACTGGGACACGCTTACATCACTAGACCTCGGATCTCCACACAGTGATGTTTTGTGTAGTGTCAGGGCCTCTGTTTCCCATATGTCCAAGGATTAGATTGATTAGAGTGAAAGGTGGTTTGGAAGATTATTTCAGTGAACGAGTATGCGGTTGGCAGTATGAATGGGACATTCCTAGGCTCCATGTTAAATTCTGGGTCCTCTCTCTTACTGGGACCTCCTCCCCTACAAATCACAGGGAGAGTTAAAAGCACTGTGTTCCAACCAGGCTACTATGCCCTCCACTGAGGGTTTGGGAGCATGTGGGAGGATTTTTCTGGTCGGGACAGGGGGAGGGGACCACAGGGAAACTGACTTGAGCAGGCATGCTATTCTGGGGAGAAGGGAGTCTTTGGGAAACCCCACCCCATCCTAGGCTGGTCCTTTTGATTGAAGGGTGGTCTCTGAGGTGGGAAAGAGAAGGCTTCCTCTGATAAAAGCAGGTATCAGAGCTGTTCCTGGAGTTGGGTGAGAGCATTCATTGGCCAGAGAAATGCTACCCGAGATCCTGGAAGTGAATGAAACTCAGACAGAGGAACTGGGCTGGTGACACAGGGAGTTTCCTTGCGACTCTGTCTTCACATGGCCATCTTATTAGGGCACCAATCATTGGTAGGTTTCAGGTCCTACCCTAATCCAATATGACCTCGTCTTAACTTCATTACGTCTGCAAAGACCCTATTTCCAAATCAGGTTACATCCACAGGTTAGGATTTCAACATATCTTTTTTTTGGGGGGGGGGGGACACAATTCAACCTGCAACAAGGCTCAATGAAGAAAGAATATTCTGGCCAGAGGGGAACAGCAACAGCAGATTACCCTCCTAGTGCCCACTGCTTTCTGGGGTCCTATCTCCAGCATCTCTCAGTTCCTGATAACTAGCAACTGCTTAAATGGAGCCAGGAGCCAGCTGATCCTCTGGATATCGGGTCTTCTCACGCCTCTTCTTCCAGCAGACTCTGTGCAGCCTGCCTGTCCCTCCTCTTCCTGCCTGCCTGCTCCCCACCCCCCACCCGCATCCCACATGCGAGATGGACAAGGACAATAAAAGCTGTTTCACAAGCAGGTGGTGATTAATCGCCAAGTTAATTAAAGAGGCAGTAATTACGCTCCGATTTCAGAGGAAGGAGCGATGTCTTGGGCAGGGATGGGTGGTCAGCCTCGGTCTCCCTGAAAAGGTGGGGCTGGAAGACAGGATTTGAAGAGACAGGAAAAAAAGCAACTAACATTTTTTTTAAAATGTTTTTATTTATTTCTGAGAGAGAGAGGCAGCGTGAGCAGGGGAGGGTCAGAGAGAGAGGGAGACACAGAATCCGAAGCAGCCTCCAGGCTCTGAGCTAGCTGTCAGCACAGAGCCCGACGCGGGGCTTGAACCCACGAACCGTGAGATCATGACCTGAGCTGAAGTCGGGCGCTTAACCGACTGAGCCACCCAGGTGCCCCAAGTAACATTTTTTTAAAGTGGGTGCCTCAACCGTAGATGTAATATTTTATTTGACAGAGTCAGGTGGCAGGCTTAAACATTTAAGCTCGTCCCTGTGCTTTTCCATGTCTTTGAAATATTTCATTAACAATAATAACAACAAATCCGGGGGAGGCTAAGTTCGGGATGTATAAACAGCCTCAGATGCCAGTGTGCCCCACTTCACACAATGGAGACGGCCTTAAGATGATGTGTAAATCGAACCCCGTTTGCCCACCCAGTACATCTTAACATCAGCAATGCTCGGTCTTCATTTCTGATTGATTTTCCCTGGTAGAGGCGCAGAATTCTTTGCTTTAAGTGTCAGGCTCTCTCTGTCAAGTAGTTAATGACCTATAAAGCACTTAAAACGTACTGGAGGAGATGCTATTTGGAGGCACCCTGTGGTGTACCCTCTTCTATTGCCGGTAATCACCCCTCATTTATTTGCTCTTATTGGTTTAGAATTTGCTATCAGGTTTCCCTAAAGTGAAGCCCACCAGGAAAGGTCCAATTCACATGGGCCCAGATGGGTGCTAGGGTTGGGACCCTGAGGCAGCAGCAACAGACAAGGGAAAAGGCCTTTCCTTAAGAGTCCTTGACCATGGGTGCACTGGTCACCTCTTGGCATGTCTTCCCTGACTACCTCATTCCTCCCGCAGCTACAGCCACCGCTGCCTTCCCAGTTTCTCCTCACCATGTGTCTGCTGCCTCAACCTCTGTCCTGAGTCCTGATCTGCTCTCTTGGTTGCCTTTAGGACACCTCCTCCGGGTTGCCACCTGGATTTCTCCCCACGTTGGTGCTCCACTCCGGTACTTCTGGTTGTGTTTACTGAAACCAGCCTCTGTCCACCGGATGGGGCACAGGCAGTTGAGGCCAGTAGATCACCAGGTCTTTTTGGCCCCTCCCCACCAAGGTGGCTCTAGAGTCTGGTCCCCTGCCCCAGCTCACACCTTCTCAGCCTCAGTCCCAGCTCCAAACGTTTGCCAATCTCAGCAGCCTCCAACTGAAACAGAACAGCCTCCCCAGAGCCATTCCCTCAAGTTGCCTCCTAAAGAACAGTGTAGGAGACTTTGCTCTCTTGCTCCCCGACTTCTGCGTGCCCCTCAGGCCTCGGTCTGGTGCCCAAGGCCCTTCACAACCTGGGACCGTGTCATCTCCCCAAGCTCTCCCAAGGACCTCACACATTCTGCCCTCTCACTCCTTCTGTCTTCAGGCCTTAGCTCATGATATTCTGTCTGGAATCCCTTCTTTTTTTTTTTTTTAATATTTTTTTTTAAATTTATTTCTAGGAGAGAGAGAGACAGTGTGAGCAGGGGAGGGTCAGAGAGAGAGGGAGATACAGACTCTGAAATAGGCTCCAGGCTCTGAGCTGGCAGTCAGCACAGAGCCTGACGCGGGGCTCGAACCCACGAACCGCGAGATCATGACCTAAGCGAAAGTCGGACGCTTAACCAACTAAGCCACCCAGGCGCCCCATGGAATCTCTTCATCTTTTAAGGTCCCCTCTTTCAGGAAGCCTTCCTTGGTTAGCTCAAGCTTGGCTTACTCTCCTTGAGGCTCCCACGGCCTTCCCATGATGTATTTTCCTTGGGTTTCTGTGTCTCCCTGTATTTTAGGGACAATTTATTGAGTGTCACTCATTCAGGGGCATTTCTTGAGCATCCGCTGAGAGAAGAGTTGTTAGGAGCACCAGCTTTAGAATCAGCCAGGTCCAAGTTCAAACCTGGCTTTGCTCCTTGCCTACCGAGTAAACTTGGGCATTTGCTGCCCCTCTCTGAGCCTCACTTTCCTCCTCTGCCACGCCCCAGAGCTGCCTACCCTTGGGCAACCGAAGGATGACGCCAACCTGGCGATGTCAGTGCTAGGAGTGAGGGAAGAGGTCAAGGTTGGGGTGAGCACAGAGGCTGTGGCAGCGGCAACCCCCAGGGTCAGAGCTATGAGAAGCAACCACAAGGAGCACAGAGCAGGGTGAGCCACCTGACCAGGCGGGCGGGAGGCCGAATAGACCCTTCCAGAAGGGAAAGTGTACTAATTTTCTTTCTTTTTTTACATTTTTTAAAAGTTTTTTTTTTTTAAAGTTTATTTTTCGGACAGAGGGAGAGGCAGAGAGAGGGGAGAACACAGAATTTGAAGCAGGTTCCAGGCTCCGAGCTGTCAGCACAGAGACAATGGGGGGCTCATGAACTGTGAGATCATGACCTGAGCCAAAGGTGGACGTTAAACCAGCTGAGCCACCCAGGCACCCCGCATGTTTATTTATTTTTGAGAGAGAGACAGAGTGTGAGCAGGGGAAGGGCAAAGAGAGAGAGGGAGACACAGAATCCAAAGCAGGCTCCAGGCTCCAAGCTGTCAGCCCAGAGCCTGATGAAGCACTCAAACTCAGGAACCTCAAGATCATGACCTGAGCCCAAATGGGCCGCTTAGCCAACTGAGCCACCAGGCGCCCCAAAAAGTGTATTAATTTTCTAGGGCTGTGGTAACAAATTACCACAAGCTCGGGTGTCTTAAAGCAGTGCACGTTTATTCTCTGGCAGTTCTGGAAGCCAGAAATTCAAAATCAATTTTACCAGGCTGAAACCAAGGGGTGGGCAGGGCCCCTTTCCC